TGAGATTGAAGGATACTGAACCTATTTATATAAAAAACTATCGAAGCCCGCATAGCCAAGTTGAGGAAATCCAGAAGCAAGTAGGAAAATTAATAGACGACAAAATAGTCGAACCATCCGTGTCAGAGTACAACAGCCCCCTTTTATTAGTGAAATTGTAGAATAATTTTTCTAAATTTATTTTAATGCGAACAAAAAGAAAAAAACCGAGTTTGGTGGCTGCAAATTTTATATATTAATAACGACACGGAGGGAGACTAAAAAGGGACGTGCGCTCGAATTCAATAATCTTTATCGACTCCTCCTTTTTCTTCTCGTTATAATATTCTTAAGCCTAACTTATCTAGGGCGGCGAAGCGGGGCGAATTCGCCAAGAGCGAGAGAGAGCTTTATTGCGCTCCCGCTTCGCCCTAAACTATCTTACACCAGACTTCAAATTTTCTCCAAATAAAACATTGCGTCTTGACGCGACACCGGCCCCGTTGAAGGCCTGTGGGACTTCAACACATCGGCAGAAGCGCCAATTTATGGATCGGCCTCCTGTAGACCGCTCCGCTGCTCGTCCTGAGGTCGACTACCCTGACCTTTCCGTCCTGCCCGGCGTGTGTTGCGACGACCCTTCCGAGGAGCCACTGTTGGGGCTGAAGGTTGTCCTCTGCGACGATGTCGAGGTCGCCTTCCTCGACGTTGGGCTGCTCCTGGTGCCACTTGCATCTTATTTGCAAGCCCAGCACATACTCCCGGGACCATCGCTGCCAGAACATTTGCCTGGCTGACGAGACAAGCCGCCATCGCCTTAAGCAACTCAGACCCTCCTGGTCCGTCGCTTGGGTCGGGGCTTATTGATCCCAGAGGGCGCGAGTTTAGCACCGCCTCGATGCCCACCATCACGCTCTCCAGCTCCTCGGCGGAGAAGAGCGCGCTTCCGGCCGACCTCAGCAGGATGTTTTTGGCCGACTTCACTCCTGCCTCCCACAGTCCGCCCATGTGCGGAGCTCGAGGTGGCAGGAAGGCAACTCGCAGCCGCTTCTCGCTGCGAACTCGCGTATTGCGTCCGCTTCTGTCCTATCGTCCTCCTCAGCTCGTAAAAGTGGCGACTTGCACCGGCGAAGATTGTCGCGTTGTCGCAGTTCATGCGAAGCGGTCATCCTCGACGACCAACGAACCTTTGAAAAGCCAATAAGAAGGAGTTAGTCGTTAGATCGGAGACAATTTCTAGATGAACCGATTTGGACGCAAAACAGACAAATAACGCTAGGTAGGACTTATAAGGGGGCCTTCCACGAATTTTTAGTGTCGTATAGACTGGGCCTCAAAAATCAACGCCACATACTGCGAATGGGCGGAGAGCACGGAGCCGGTCTGCGGGTAGATTTCCCATCATTTGGGTCTGGAGGCGAGGCTTGCATTTAAAGCAGCGAATGCACGACCTGACCATTGCCCTGCAGACCTCCTGAGCGTTTACTATCCAAACACGCTGCCTAAGCATGCTCACAAGTGCTTTCACCGGCATGAAAATTCGTTTGATGCAGATAGCGAACATAGGTCTGCACAAACTGCAAGCGTTTTGTTAACAGCAAAGGAAACTTGGCATGGTATGACATAGGAGCGTTAACTAGTCGCCCCCTAACTCGCAACAACGAAAAGGAGCACCAAGTCCCCATTTCTTCGTTGATGAAGGGATTCAATCGCTGAAGACTGGGGCCTAATCTGGTGCCTTTACGAACCCTTTCGATCTCTTCCTGATACTCGTTTTTTTTGATCAGCTCGACAATTTTGTGAATAGCTTCATCGTACTCTACTGGTGACGGACTGACTTCAAATTTAAGACTTTTGTCTGTACATTTTCGGATGAAGCGGAACACGTAAACGAACACTCTTAGCAGCATGAGGTGTGACGAGTATCCCTCGATAATTTCCACTAAATCATTTGATTTAGCGGCCATGGTCAGTCCGACCGCTGTCTTCCTGGTTTCCAGCTTCAGCTCTTCCTCAGAAAGCTCGAAGTGGGGATTTCTGGGCCAGCTCTCTTCTTCTTCCTTCAAAAACGCTGGTCCACTAAACCAGATCGACTGCGAAATCTCCTCAATGTCACAACCTCTCGAAACTATGTCTGCTGGGTTCTGTTTAGTTGGAACATGCCGCCACGTAGCATCATCTGACCACTCCTGAATCTCAGCTACTCGGTTCGCAACGAATGTTGATAACGACGAAGGGTGGGATCGGATCCAATGAAGGGTCACTTCCGAATCCGACCAACATACCATTCGTTCAATCGGCACCTCGAGTAGCGATTTGAGTCGGTGACAGAGATCTGCGAGAAGGTGAGCGGCACATAACTCAAGCCTTGGAAGCGTTTTCGTCTTGAGCGGCGCTACTTTCGATTTTGCGGTCAACAACGAGACCTTGAAACCTTCTGCAGTCTTACTACGGATATAGACGCATGCTCCATAAGCTCTCATGGAGGCGTCGGCAAAGGCATGCACTTGTATCGGTGACATGGGATCAGTATGCACAAAGCGAGGTATGGCAATCTTCTCCAGCTGACCCAAGGATTCTTTTAGAAAGTTCCAAGATGTTTCCAGATTCATTGGAATTGACTCATCCCAATCTAGTTTGTTAAGCCACAGCTCCTGCAGTAGGATCTTTCCCTTGATTACCAAGGGGCTAAACAAACCAAGGGGGTCAAACAGCTTTGATGTACCGATAATATGTACCGTTTTGTCGCTCGGAGACCCATGACTGAACTGTCAATTTGAAACCTAAAGACGTCTTCATGCGGTAGCCACGATATTCCCAACGCCTTGGTTGACTCCGAGTCCGAGATCGTTATCGGTTTAACTGTGCTCTCGGATGCTGAGACTTCAGGTGAGTTCGAGAACCACTTGGTCAGCTCAAACCCTGCGGCTTGAAGAACCTGAGCCACATCAGACTTAATTGTCTTTAACTCCTCCACGCAACCAGCACCAGTCAACATATCATCGACATAAAAGTCGGACCTGATAACTTTAGCAGCCTTTGGGAATGAGAGCTTTGCAGACTCACTCAACCTTTTCAAACACCGAATAGCCAAAAATGGGGCAGGTTCAGTCCCATATGTTACAGTGTTGAGCTGGTATATTCTCAAGGACTCAGATGGGTCTCTTCTCCACACGATCAACTGAAACTGCCTGTCCGCTTCATTCACCATCACTTGGCGATACATCTTTTTTACATCGGCAGTCAGGGCGAACCTGTGCAGACGGAAGCGAAGCAGCGTTGAGTATAACTTCTCTTGAATAGTCGGTCCGACCATCAGAATGTCATTCAAGGCCACCTGAGATGACGTCTTCGACGACGCATCGAACACGACGCGAAGCTTCGTGGACGTACTTTGGGGCCGAAGGACACACTGATGTGGAATTACGTAGTGTGGAGCAGAAGGATAAGTATTGTCAGTCGGCGACATATGACCTAAGGAGAGGTACTCTTCCATGAATTCCAAGTACATTTTCTTCAACTCAGGGTCGCGGGACAATCTTCTTTCGAGCGACAAAAACCGCCGTTTAGCAATCTCGAAGGAATTGCCTAAGCAATTTGGATCGGATTTAAACGGCAGCCGTACTTCAAACCGACCTGAAGGCAAGACTTGAGTAGTCTTTCTATAATGCTCCTCACATAACTTGTGTTCAGGAGTTAAAGGCTTTTTAGAAGATGGCAATTCTTCTAGTGACCAAAACTTTTGTAGTGTGTTGTCGATAGACACCACTGACTCTTCTCGACAACTCAGACAGTTCCTCGCTTCCTGGGTGACAGTCACCTTTGGACTGTATCTTCCAGACACAATCCAACCGAGAAGCGTTTTCTGCAGAGTTCGATAGTCAGGACCTTGTCTAATTTGACCAACCGATAAGAGTTCGAAAAATGACTCTGCACCTATCAACATATCTATTCTTTGTGGCTTGTAGAAATATGGGTCTGCAAGAGGTAGGTTCTTCGGGATTTTCCATTCACTCACATTAAGTGCGTGATCAGGGAGGTATCCCGAGATTGACTTCAGAATCCAGAAATCGACCGAGAACTCACTTCGCGGCTTCACCACCGTGTGTATCTTTTTCTTGCCTTGTGAGTTAGATTCTCCAATTCCAAGCAAGTTGATGCACGACACCTCCCTACGGATCTGTAAGCGCTGTGCCGGGTCCTCAGTTATGAAGTTAGTTTGTGACCCAGAGTCAAGCAGTGCTCGGGCCAAAACATACTCTCCATTTTTTGTTTGGACGCTTACGATCGACGTTGCCAGAATTACTCTATCCAAAGCTGTCGCATGGAGTGCATGCGAAGTGGATGGGTTACTCTGACTAGGAGGGGGAGAAGAATTCTCTGGGGGTGATGGTAACGCTAAACTTTTATCCACAACTGTGTACCTATGCAATAAGGCATGATGTGAGCGGCCACACACTCGACACTTGCCAGCTTTACATCGTACCACAGTGTGTCCTTGTTGCAGACAGTTGATGCAGAGCGATGCCGATTTGACAAACTCGAATCTTTGCATCACTGCAAGCCGCGCAAATGGACTGCAAGTAGTCAACAAATGGTCTTTTGCATTGCAGTAACTACATTGTTGGTTTTTAGCATTCGCAGTAGAGCACGCGAATGAGCTCCGATTGTGAGGCTTGCTTGGCACAGCTTTCTGCTCCTGCTTTGGTTTTGCCGATTCTTCGGCCGAAAGATGCTGATATCTGCGATTAAGCATTTTTTCGCAGTCAGCCCAAAGCGGCAGCTTCTCATAATCGAGCTGTTCTTCCCATTTTTATTTGGTCACAGGATCGACTCTGTTCAAGACGAGATGAATAAGCATTGCATTCGAGATCTTTTGGTCATCGCCTATCGACAACAAGGAACCATATATCGATGAAGTGGTATCGATTAGGTTCCTTAAGGACGATGCAGATTGCTGGGTCATTTTGGGAAGACTAAATAGGGCAGCAATATGGTTCATAAAGATCAGACATTCGTTATCATAGACCCGTTTTAAGCAAATGGTTAAACTTTTCGATAACTGGAATGCTTTCGTCATTGTGAACAAGAGTCTCAAATAAAGTAATGAAGCCTTTGAATTCCGAATATTTTCCGCTGAACTTTGGCAGGGCTAACTTCGGCAGTCGAGCACGAGTTGGGGCTACAGAAGCTGATACTGAAGGTATTGTATCACTGGCTGTCTTCAAGGCGTCGATAAGCGACATTATCCTTGCCTTGGTTACAATCGAGAGTTCTTCCAACTCGGCTCCAAAGTCATCGTCACTATCTATTTCTTCGATTGATTCTTGAACTTGGCTTGCCTTGGCTATAGTTGCTTTCAGTACGTCGAGTCTGCACTCCAGCCGGTCCGCTAGTCGGCGAATGCCTTTGACACGGGAGCTGAGCTTCTTTTTCAGCTCTTCAAGAATAGGCTTATGATCTGATTTGGGATTCATCTTGACTCTCGATACTCAAGTGAATCACTAATCAGGGCTGTTCTCACGATAATATTATTTGCTGCGGCGCAAAGTGTCGAAACAGGAAGGTGTACCTAAATTAGGTCGAAAGAAATATACCCGGCGACTAGAGGGTATCGCACCACTTAGCGATCGGTTTAATACGGACCTAGGGTGTTGAAGCCAAATGAGGCGAAAAATCTATATACCCGACGATTAAAGGGTATCGAGGCAATTGGCGATCTGTTTAAGACGGACCTACGGTGTCGATGCCAAATGAGGCGAAAAATCGATATACCCGACAATTAAAGGGTATCGAGGCACTTGGCGATCTGTTTACGCAGGCGTGCCAACACAAAACACACAAGAACAACAACAAACAGCAACGGTGACAAGCGAAAGCGAAAACGAAAAAATCACCGCTGAAGCTGTGAACATATGCACATGTGTGTGTGTCTAAGCTGAGTTGGCGCTTGTGTATGCTGGGCCTGGCTGACCGACCGATAGACACCCAATTGAATTTCGAGGCACGCTTTGACAAATTGACAGTTGGATCCTTTGCACCAAAACTATATACCCGACGATTACAGGGTAGCGCGTCGCTTGGCGAACGGTTTGACTTAAACGCGCCAAACGCAAGAACACACCAACAACAACGACGGTCAGCAACGGTGACGAGCAAAAGCGAGAACGAAAATTCACCGCTGCAGCTGCTACGTTGGTATGTGTGCGCTTGGCCAATGACCCAACTATATATTTGCGCAACGAAAACGAGAAAGGGGGAAAGGGGCGACAGTGATTGCAGTTATAAATTATATGTATATGTTCTGCGTCCAAGATGGTATGATGTATGTGAATATGTGATATATGTACAAACTCTACTAAATACATGCAAATCTAGCTCTACTATATCATACGGATGTGCCAAGAATTGAAAGCGAGGTGCACTTATTTTAGCAGAAGACAGTAACTACGAGATTTTAATGATTTTGTCTTTACTCGAGCTTTAAATTTTTTGCACAAATACCTCTAGTATGTATGTAATAAGATCCTGGGAATTCCACTTTCCTTGGCAGGTGGCAAATGTCTTTTGGAATGGATATCCCTCGGTGGTTGAGATCGCTAGGTATTTTTGTTGTATGTTTGTTAGCCGTCCGTCGCGGTAGTTTTAGGTGTGTTATTTGAGGGGTTGATCCTGCAAACACACGCGACGCGGTCAGGTGTATATTATATACACTTAAATATTCAATATGATTTACATATATTTTGTTCACCACTCGTGTCACTGTCACTTTCTGCCTTTTTTGCTATATTAATTTGCGAGTCCACCCGGGGGCGCCATGAAATTTTAGAATAGTTTTTCTAAATTTATTTTAATGCGAACAAAAAGAAAAAAACCGAATTTGGTGGCTGCAAATTTTGTATATTAATAACGACACGGAGGGAGACTAAAAAGGGACGTTCGCTCGAGTTCAATAATCTTTATCGACTCCTCCTTTTTCTTCTCGCTATAATATTCTTAAGCATAACTTATCTAGGGCGGCGAAGCGGGGCGAATTCGCCAATAGCGAGAGAGGGCTTTATTGCGCTCCCGCTTCGCCCTAAACTATCTTACACTAGACTTCAAATTTTCTCCAAATAAAACATTGCGTCTTGACGCGACAATTAGTACCAAAGAAATGGCGATTAGTAGTTGACTATCGTCAAATAAATAAAAAACTCCTGTCAGATAAATTTCCATTACCTAGAATTGATGATATTTTGGATCAACTAGGTAGAGCAAAATACTTCTCATGCCTTGATTTAATGTCAATGTTGAGCTAGCGAGCTTTTTCACTAGCGTAGTATTGCGATATGTTTATTAACGAGACAATGTTTGTGTAGATTAAATATGGTTTATTGTTGTAAACAGTATAAAGGCGATACAGAGTCAAAGAGATAGCGAAAGGTTCGAGTTAGATTGATGACGAGTCGGTTGGAGAGTTAGCTGGATTCAAGACGGGGTCAGATTGTAGACGCGGGGGTCGGTACAAGACGGTGTCGGATTGAATAGCTCGATTCCAAGACGATGTGCAGTGGTTGCTAGATCCAGACTAATTCAAAGGGCAGGCGGGCCGAATTGCCCGTGCCCTAATGCGAGCGAGAGAGCGACAGATCGAGAGAGTGATAGCGAAAGGCGATAGAAAGAAGAGTGTGAGTTGAAGACGCGAGAGAACGGCGGCATAGGCTGCTTCCGTGCGGGAGCATGAATATGTACATATGTATGTAGATGACAAAGTTAAGCAGTGGGCAGTAGAAATGCTGAACAATAAAGATATTTACTCTACTGCTGCACCACTGACTATGATCTACTGATTATTTGGCTGCGTAACCAAACATACTCCCCACGTTGAAGAGCACGGATCTTTAACATCCCTTTTCAACAGCATACAGGGTTCAGCAGGCAAAGCTTGTTGTTGATGGGGCCGTTCTTCCTTCCATCGAGACCTGTAGATTCGATGCATGGAAGCAACGTGTTGTCCGGAACCCATTCGGTTGAAGTTGAGCCATGTAATGTGAGGCTCGGCGACAGAAGAAGAGGCGAAGAAGAATAGCGCATTCAAACCAGGCACTGGAAGTGATGTGTCCAGATAAGCATGGCTCTCTGAAATTAAGACTGAGGGATTAGCAATTTCTGCTCTCCCCCCAATAGGGCAATATGGGGATGGTCTTGGGCCCAGCACAGCTCGAGGTCCAGCGCGATGCCCAGAATTACGTCCGCCAGCAGAGAGCGGGGGCTCGTTCAGATGAACATCGGCCGGAACGGGGCGTTTGCAGGGAATCCACAATGCTTGAAGGTATGTAAGCGAGGTCGTAGCCTGAGCAGGAACCAGATCCGACGCAAGTCCACCTGTGTTGATGCAATCGAGGCCGCCATCTAACTTCGAATAGGATTCCTCGTCCCCTGCTCCACCATGAACAGCCGGAACAATAAACAGATGCTTCGATTGGCATTGACTTCTGTTGATCAGTCCAATTGGCTCCAAAATCGCGCACGAATCCACTTGGAATGGGGCCGGTGTGATTCCCTGACCAAACGCAAGATGCGGAGCTACGGAAGTGGACCGCTTAGTGATCTCTGAGAGAATGATCCCAGTGAGCGTCACAAACAGCTCTTCAAAGTCATCGGCAAGTTCACTCCCAATCTCGTCGCAGTCCAGCTTTTCGAGTTCACTGTGCACGGTTTTAAAAGTGCCGTGCAGCTCCTCGATTTGCTCCAGCCTGCCAACGAGCATGAAGTGGTCAAATAGGGAAGCGTTCTCCAAGACAATTTCTAGCTGCTTCATCCGTTGAAATAATGCTGGTGCCTTCCGCTTTAGGAAAGCCACACTGTTTCCAGCAGCGGTCACTGCACCGTCGTTCCTCGCACCCATTTCGGCAGCAGGCGCTAGAAAACGTTTCTAGCGGGAAGATGACCGCAAAGAAGAGCGAACGCTTGCAATAAATGCAGCAAGAACCGCAAGCAGATCGCAAAGCAGACGACGCGAGCACCGTTTTTGTTGCTTGTGCACAGCCGAATACCGAAAACCCGTGGCTTAATGCGAATTTAACGAATGACAAGTTTAATTGTTTTTGTGATTTAATTGCTTATATCACGTCGGGGTCACCAAATGTTGAGCTAGCGAGCTTTTTCACTAGCGTAGTTTTGCGATATGTTTATTAACGAGACGATGGCTGTTTAGATTAAATATGGTTTATTGTTGTAAACAGTATAAAGGCGATACAGAGTCAAAGAGATAGCGAAAGGTTCGAGTTAGATTGATGACGAGTCGGTTGGAGAGTTAGCTGGATTCAAGACGGGGTCAGATTGTAGACGCGGGGGTCGGTACAAGACGGTGTCGGATTGAATAGCTCGATTCCAAGACGATGTGCAGTGGTTGCTAGATCCAGACTAATTCAAAGGGCAGGCGGGCCGAATTGCCCGTGCCCTAATGCGAGCGAGAGAGCGACAGATCGAGAGAGTGATAGCGAAAGGCGATAGAAAGAAGAGTGTGAGTTGAAGACGCGAGAGAACGGCGGCATAGGCTGCTGCCGTGCGGGAGCATGAATATGTACATATGTATGTAGATGGCAAAGTTAAGCAGTGGGCAGTAGAAATGCTGAACAATAATAGATATTTACTCTACTGCTGCACCACTGACTATGATCTACTGATTATTTGGCTGCGTAACCAAACACTTGTCTACATTACATGATGATCCAATTCAAGGAGGACATACAGGCATAACAAAAACCTTGGCCAAGGTCAAAAGACATTATTTTTGGAAAGGTATGACCAAAGAGATTACTGATGACATACGTAAATGTCAAAAATGCCAAAAGTCGAAAACGACTAAACATACAAAAACTACAAAGGCCGTCTTCAAATCAGCCACGCGGCATACTCAATCCTTGCCTTTTACGACGTCGACTACTCTAGCCAGTGGCCAACGCATTGGAGGAAGATTCTCGTCCTTCACCAAGACGACATCGTTGCCGCAGAGGTTTTTCGCAGGCTTACGCCACTTGGAGCGCTCTTGCAAAAGAGTCAGATACTCTTCGCGCCAACGCCTCCAGAATGTCTGCTGCGGTTTAGTGACCCGCTGGCAACCATCCAGACGGTTTTAATTGAGCTTCGTTAGGTCAGGCTCGAGAATTGTTTGATGCGGGCCTCCCAAAAGCAGATGAGCAGGCGTCAACACATCCAAGTCATCAGAATTTTCTGAAAGCGAGAGCAAAGGGCGAGAATTAACAATTGCCGCGATCTGGCAGATCAAGGTACGGAGCTCGTCGAAGCTAAGGACGGATGGCCCAACTGAGCGGTACAAGTGATACTTTGCAGACTTCACGGCCGCTTCCCACAATCCGCCAAAGTGCGGAGAGCGCGGGGTGATGAAATGCCAGTCGATTGTGTCAGCCAAGCAGGACTTCCTTCATGTGCGAGTCGCTCAGATAAAGCTTCTTCAGCTCCAGAAGCTCATTCTTAGCGCCAACGAAATTTGTCGCATTGTCCGACCAAATTTGACTTGGCCTGCCTCGAGTGGACGTGAAACGTTTCAATGCACCTAGGAACGATGCGGGGGTCAGATCTTTAACAAGCTCCATGTGTATGGCCTTAGATGTGAAGTAAATAAACACGCTTATGTAGCACTTGATCGGAGGCCTCGTGCGGATTTCTGATCGGTAGAAAAAGGGTCCACAATAGTCCACTCCAGTTACTTCGAAGGCCCGCGATCCTTCCAGACGCTCCTTAGGCAAGTCCCCCATAATGTGCTCAACCATGCGCGGCCTCGTCCTGAAGCATCTTACACACTTGCTAACCGCTTTCGAGACGGCTTTGATTCCTCCAATAGGCCAATATTCTAATCGAATTTTAGCAAGCAAGGCGCGAGGTCCGGCATGGAGGTTCCGTTGATGATAATAGCTTATCATTGCAGATGTTACGGGATGTCCCTTGGGCAAAATAAGCGGGTGCTGAGCATTAAACGGGAGCGATGAGTTGCCGAGACGACCTCCAACTCGAAGTAAACCTGACGGATCGATGAACGGAGATAGCGAACTGATGGAGCTAGACTTCCTGACTTTCCCATTGCGTCTAATCTCCTTTATGTCCGACCACAAACTTGCCAGCTGAACGTGTCGAACAAGAAGATGCGTTCCTTGCTGTATGTCAGAAACCGTGAGTCCAGGATGCCTAAGACGATGAACGAATTTATGCATGTAGGCGAATGTGCGCTGCATGCCAAAGAAAGAATTAGCAAATTTGCATCCGGACGTGAGATCGGCATGTGGAGACGCGATCAGCAATACACGCTTGCGAAGCTCAATGGTCGGAGTTTCAGAAACGGCAGATACGGGCCACTCATCCTTAGAACCTAACAAAAACGAGGGGCCGTGAAACCACAGCTCTGACTGGATGAGGTAGCTGGGAAGCGAGCCTCTGGAGAGGATATCAGCGGGATTCAACAATGTGGGAACATGGCGCCATTCCATGCCTTGCGTCAACTCCTGAATTGTTGCCACTCGATTTGCCACGAAAACCTGAAATTTGGCTGGCTCATCCCGAATCCAAGATGACGCCGTAGACGAATCCGACCAGCAGTAAAACTGACCTGGGAAAATTCCCGTCTCCTTTAAGTTGCGCATAACCTTCGCAAGCAAATGGGCTCCACTCAATTCCAGCTTTGGAATCGACAATGATTTTAGTGGCGCTATTCGAGATTTTGAGCACAAAACATTGCTCGACGACTCCCGTTGCCTGGACACGACATATATGCAAGCACCATATGCTTCCATGCTGGCATCACAAAATCCATGAACCTCTACAATTGTGCTGGAATGATGGACAACGCGAGGAAAGGAAATGCGAGAGATGCTTGCCAAACTGTTTCTCAGGTCGATCCAAGTTGAGAGCAGCTCTGTCGGTAGGCTTTCATCCCAGTCCAAATGTTCTCTCCAAAGCTGCTGAAGAAAGATCTTGCACCTGACAATAACAGGATTAATCAATCCAAGAGGGTCGTAGAAACGCGCAATAGTTGACAAAACCGACCGCTTGGAGGGCCTTGAATTCGTGTCCATCGCGGACAAGGCAAACAGCAGCTGGTCCGACGCAGGGTCCCAAGCTAAACCAAGAGTTTTGGCTTCCATCATGAAACCGTAGAAATTTCTCCACGTCGTCTTCTGGAATTCCATCAAGCACCTCCTGGTTACTCAAGCACCATTTTCTAAGCTTAAAGTTACCGCAAGACAGTAGACTTGAAGTTTGGCGCATCTTTTCCATTACCTCTGCGACCGAATTGCCGCCAGAGATGAGATCATCAACATAGAGAGCAGAGCAGCTGAGCCAAGAGGGTAGGGATTACCCTCATCGATGGCCAGCTGGTGCATTTCGCGGACAGCTAAAAACGATGCAGCCCTCGTACCGTATGTGACGGTGTCTAATGTGTAGACCTGAACCTCGGACTGGATTGAATCTCGCCATAGGATACACTGGAGAAAATTGTCAGGTGGAGATACCTTCACGCAGCGGTACATTTTACAAATGTCACCAGTGAGAGCGACGGGATATGTGCGGAACTGGATCAGTATGTTAAGCAATGCAGGTTGAATAACAGGACCTGTCATCATCACATCATTGAAAGAGCATCCAGTTGATATAGCTGCAGAGCCATTGAAAACGACACGGAGTTTTGTCGTGGTACTATCCTCCTTTAAAACGCAGTGATGAGGCAGAAAATACTTGCAGAGGATACGTGAGTCAGGATGGACTTTGGACGTATGCTTTAAATCAGTATACTCTTTCATAAAGGCTAAGTAACGCTCCTTGAGTGTGGGATTACGATCCAGTTTTCGCTCCTAACTGAGAAATCGTCGATACGCCTGAGTATAGGACTCTCCAAAGCGATCAGCATCATGCTTTAAAGGCAGTCGAACGGAGTACTCCCCTGATGGCAAACGTGAAAAGTGGCTTACGAAATGCGCCTCACAATCTACTTCTTCCTTTGTACTCAAACTAGCCTCTACACAATTCTCGACTTCCTAAAACATACGAACAGTTCGATCCAACCTTGCATTGATTCTAGCCTCCGAATCCGGAGAATTTTGGGTTGTCAGAAGCGACGAGCTTGATACCCTCTGTCCACCACCAGATACGATCCACCCAAGCCGGGTCTTCTGCAAAAGAGGCAATCCATCGATGAGCTTGATTTGCCCTACGCAGAGAAGGTCATAGAAAATGCTCGCGCCAATGAGGAGATCTACTCGCTGAGGATTAAAGAATGCAGGATCGGCAAGCTGAATATTGGATGGAATGTTCCAATCTGCTACATTAACTGCCAGACTTGGTTGGCTATCTGTGATTGTGGGTGCGATGAGAGCAGTGAGTGTGGTCGAATAGTCCGAAGTGCGAGACTGCATGTAAATGCTGACGGTGGATCCCTCAGTGGACACGCCAGTATCGCCCAGACCAGAAACAAGGGCAGACGATTGAGTTCTCTTAAGCTGAAGCTGCTGGGCGAACCTGGATGTAACGAGATGCAGCTGGGATCCTGAATCTAGAATGGCGCGACAAGGAACTAAAACGCCAGATCGATTTTTAATCAAAACAATAGCTGTGGCCAACAGCACAACATCGGAGTGGAGACCTTGGGCAGCAAGAGAGGTAGACGCATGAGACGGCACACTGCTAGTAGAATCCTGAACTGGCGTAAGAGCTCCTGGTTGTACTGCTCGTTCTGGAGGAGAAACAACTGGGGAGCTTTGCGCTATGGATGAGTCGAAGTGCAATAAGGTATGCACTTCCGCAAACTCTACACTGGCCACCTATACATGCAAGAGTCCGATGACCCGATTTTAAGCAGTTAAAACAAAGTGACAGCTTCTTCACTTCCTTGTGACGCAGAAAAGGAGATAAATTTGAAAAGATGCTGCACGAGTATATTCCGTGGCCCGCTGAATGTCAGAAAGGGCATCCAGACGGGTCGGCGGAAGAGTTAGAAGCAACAAAAGTTTTCTTTAAATGTGTTGACTGGCTTTTTCCCGCCTGAACGCTACCAGCGTGTGTCGCTATAGCGTACTGCACGTTCTCCATCTTCTGGCATCGCTTCTCCAGGAAATCGTAGAACTCCCCAGCTGTGGGTATCCTGTCCGCTGACGCAGCCTCTTCCCATTTAATTTGGGTCTTCGCATCTAGTTTTGCAGCAGCATGTGGATTATCATGCATCCCGATATCTCCTCAGCACTTCCTAATGTCTGCAGGGCACGCCTATGCAAGTTGACTGCGTCCGAAAACTCCCGAAGCCTTTTAGCAGAAGGCGAATCTACCTTCTTGAGCCCAAGAATCTCCTTGATGTATGCCTGGAAAACAAGTCGTTTATTATTAAAACGTTTGCTAAGTATGTCTAGAGCCACACGATAATTGGCACTGGAGACCTCCAACAATCGAACCGAATCCAGGGCCGCATCCGAGAGACATGAGCGAAGATGTTGGAACTTCTCGATTTCACTGAGATCTGCATCCCCTTCGATGACCGAATTGAACATGGCAATAAAATCCGCATATTCCACATAGCCACCGGAGAAGCTAGGTATCTTAAGCTCAGTAAGCCGCTGCTTGTGAGCCATGATGATGGTATGACCTCCAGAGCTATTTGGCATGCTAGTGGATTGAGAAGCTACGCGTAAATGACCTAGTTCGAGAGCAGACAGCAGCTCGGCTTTCAGCGCATTTAGTTTGTCGAGTTTATTCCCCGAAAATGACTCGCCAAGACGGTGCAGCCGATCATGCAGACTGAACTTTACGCTTGTAAGGCTGTTCAGAGTGAGGACGGCGCTGGCGGGGCAACAGCTCTGTCGGCATTCCAGCCACACCACTGTTAGCAATCCAGCTACGCAAACTGTTGCCCTCGCTCTCGCTCTCACGCTTATGAGCGTTTTTCCCCCCGGTGACGCGCTCTCGCGCGCATACTCACCACACTTACGCTCCCACCCACGCTCACGCACCCGCTCCCGCAGCCAACAGCCGTCGGCAGCAGACTTCGAGGAGAGAATAATGCGCTTTTTCACCCCAAGCAAAACGGCCGGCTTTTGCACGCGATACATATATATTACAAATAATTAACCCTACGAATAAACATTGACGAAATTGGAACTGCCTATCGTATTTATCTTGTGAGGTCCTATTTCAGGCTTAGGTATGCATTAGTCTGTCCAGGGTCCGCTACAAGAAAATTTGTAGTTTGTAGGTGACTTCAGGTGTCGGGCTGGCTTGCAAAAGAATGTAGTAGGCAGCGAGAAATGATGATGCGACGGTTTTTGTTTGTTGGATTTTTCTTGGTTTTTATTTAGTATTCGGTTTTCTTCATTCACTTAAATTCTGCTACTTTGACTCGTAGTTGAATGGTGCGCTGGTGGACTGCGTAGTGCAGTGTCTTGGGTATGTGACTGAGGGACTGCCTAGTGCAGTGTCTTGGGTGTGTGACTGAGGGACTGCGTAGTACAGTGTCTTGGGTGTGTGACTGAGGGACTGCCTTGTGCAGTGTCTTGTGTTTGGGCTGATGGACTGCCTCCTCTTTCAGCCGATCTTGGCCCTTTTATGCAGCTGGCGATCGCACCTGAGACCCGGAAATAATTGCTTATTGTTAACTTATGATTATTGGTGACAATAATTGTGGGGCGTGGTAAGTGGGTCGAAGCTGGGTGCTTCGTTGACAATTGTTAGTGGGGCAGTGTGTTTTTGCTGAGGCTGCATCCCGGAAGGTGCAGTTGGGAATTGGGTTTTTGCTACCTCCGCATCGCGAAGGTGATATCTGTGATTCGAGGCCGAGTGGTTGCGAAATATCGCCAAGAAGTGGGTGACTGAGAATTTCGTGCTGTGTTTTTTCGCTGATCGAGAGTTCTTAATTTTAGTAATTGCGTGCGTTGCTTAAGACTATTTTATTTTCCGGAGTGCTGACACACCGCTATTTGGGGAGGACCGTGGCTAGAGCCATGGTTCGTTAGCTCTGTGTATATCAGTTAGATTATTGTCTCTGGCCAGCGTGGATACGCTGACCTTCCACCGTTTGTGACGAGCCATGGCTAGAGCCATGGTTCGTTACACCCCCCCTTTCTTCCGGGTGGGTGAAGGAGAGATTAGTGGCGTCGCTTGGCGGGTGCTGAGGTTTGCCTTCTCCTGTCCTTTGGCTTGTGTCGAGTCTTTGGATTCGTCGGTGTCAATCTAGTCACTTTAGCGTGGCGTCGGTAACGTTATATTTTCTACTGCTGCTCTGATCGTGATATTTTTGCTGTACTGGGTGCTGTGTAGTTGGTCTCTGCTTGGTGGGTCGCTTATCCCATATGACGATGGTTTTCTCGGCCGTTTTCTCTGATAGTTCTTTGTCCAGGCATTCTTGGATCGGCGGTGCTATGTCGGGTGGCCAAGGATCCGTCGGTAGTTCTGGGTCGTCTTCGGTGGGTTCGGTGGCTCCGTAATCAAAGGTTTGATTCGGGTCTTTCGGTAGGATGGGTCTGTCAAATGTAAATGCTTGGATCTGCGGGGCCAAGTCCGGCGGCCACGGCTCCGGGACTGGTTCGGGCTCATGTTCGGTTGGATCGGCGGCTTCGGAGTCAAATGGCTGGCTGGGGTCTTCGGGTAAGAGGGTTGTGTCGAAGGAGCTGTGCGTTTGGATCCTCCGTTGGTAGTCGCTTATGTGGGCGACGATCGGGGTGGCGTTGGCCATGGGTACGATGTTTTGGTACGACGGGTGTAGTACTCGTGTTATACTACAGCCAGACTGGTACGTGAACAGGTGAGTCGCGATGACACCTCTGGTATCGCAGCAACGACTTGTGTGGGCGACGAAGATCTCGGACACGGCTCTAGGCATGGCTCGCTGCATGGCGCTAAGAATCATGTCAGTACGCGGAAGGTACTCCATTGTGTTGGCGAGGATAGGTGTGGCGTCGGCCGTGGGTCGGACAGGACGGCTGTCTGGGCATCGTGCTGGTTTCCGGGCCCTCGTTGAGGGGCTCTGTGGAGATCAGTTCGATTATGGGCCCCGTCCAGCGTGGGGTTAGCGTGGCTGTTTCCCGTGTGGCTGGGCTGTCGGATGGTGGTGGCCGTTGTCCTTTTTCGCTGCTGGCGGTCGGTTTTGAGGGTGTCCGTGCGTTCCCTGCTTCCGATGCGGTTTCTCTGCGTGCTTGCTCTGTTGCTTGTCTTGGACCTGGGCTTCCTGTGTCGAGCGCCGGGTTCAAGTGTGTTTGTCTCGTGTGTGAGATCCTCGTGGTTTGTTTGGGGTATGTGTCCCCTGTGGTTGGCCTAGGACGCGGTTGCTCCGTAGTGACCGTGGGACTCGTTTTCCCGATTGCTTGATTGCGGTTTGCTGGTGTTGACCTTGGATTCGTGTTCTCCGTAGTGTGCCGTGGCTTCGTATTCGTTGAGATTGGTTTGGGTGTCAAGTGCTGCGTTGCGTTATTGGGTGCCGTGTGCGTTGTGGTAGGTCGTGGGCGTGGGTTCGTTGCGATTTTTTGGGGTTTCTGGTATCGGGGTTCGGCGTCTTGTACGTGGATGGTAGTAAGCACGGGTTCAGTGGGCATGCGGTGACGGTCTCGTAGCTGTAGCAGCGTGGAGCCGCATTGGATCGTCG